AGAAGCATGATGGAAACTGACCTCAACTCCAACACAAATGCAACTGTATACCATGTAAGGAGTACAGGTTTATCTGACTCACCGTTCCAGAAGAGGGAACGCTCATCATCAAGATGTGGACATCGGGTAAAGCCTCCTTGTGGCATCAACATGACAGACAGCATCACATGATTAAGAAGAACAAGTTAGCTCAGGCCTCTTTGCTTGTTTAGCCATGAATGCCACCATAGGAACCTACCTCACCCTCATGACTCTATCTAAGGCTTTGGTGTATTACCAATAGCAGTTCTATTCAGTAAGCCAAACAGTGTAGAAAGAGAAGAGGCTTTAGGTCCAAACATCAAATCAACCATATTCAAAACAATATATGTTCACTAATTTATAATTAGTAATTTCTCCAAAGCTATTTTTGTATGTAAAAGGGATAATGTTTAATTCTGATATAATTTGTTAAATTAATTGGGAATTTGAGTCATATATAAAAGTGTATGACATAAGAGGGTCCTTTATAACAGTCTTAGCTGTACTACACTGTTTTTTAAAAAAATTAAGGGAGCTGGAGCGATGGTTCAATGATTGAATACAAATATATTATTTTATTGTCTTCTGTTGACCAAAAATCAATATTGTTTAAATCAAGGAATCTACACCAAAAATAATTTTCAATATCATTTCAAAATTCTTCTACTTATATTAACCAATAGTTGAAGACTATTTAAAAGCTTTACAATTTTTCACATTTACAATAATTAATCAATACCTGATATCAAACACATTTTATAATTCACTAACATTTCCTATGAATTCATTTTGATGTTTTCTTTTACTTTTATTTTTGTTATATTTAGATATGAACCTACTAATTTATTATCTCACAAGTATAACTACTATCAAAACCAAACAAAATTTTATTTCAGAAATGTCCCATTTTGCCTTGCACAGTCATTGATTCTTTTGTGTCCTTTAAAGACTATGTATCAAGTATACAGAATGAGCATCACTGTGGTTATTATGATTCTTTTTTTTTTTTTTTTCTGAGACAGGGTTTCTCTGTGTAGCTTTGCGCCTTTCCTGGAACTCACTTGGTAGTCCAGGTTGGCCTCGAACTCACAGAGATCCACCTGCCTCTGCCTCCCGAGTGCTGGGATTAAAGGCGTGCGCCACCACCGCCCAGCTGTTATTATGATTCTTTAATGAAGATGAATTATGAAAAAGATGAGATCCAAAGTGGGAATTCTTAGGAGATGAAATGCATAGCCATGAAGAGTGTCTCACACTATTCACTGGGACTACATAAGCCCTGATGTAGATAGTTTAAAAGTAATGGCTACCTAAGATGTCTTTCCATGTTAGCATATAATAGATCAGACTGGGACCCTACAACTCATGAGAAAGAGGGAGAGATTTAACTTTAAAAGATTAAAATTTTAATACCATTATGCTAAACATGATATATTCCAATATATTGATTAAGACTATCAAAGCACCTTGTATTATAATTGCCCTCAGGTTTGGCAATAGACATCTTTACCATGGAGCCATCTCTTTGGCTCTCAAAAGATTTTAGCAGCTTTTAATTTTTGAGTTAATTGTAGCATCATATAAGTTGCAAGAAATGCAGAGAGGTCCCATATACACTTTACTCACTCTTTATCGGGAGGTCTTTCAACTGGCATTGCATTTTATGTCAAAGTGGACACATACAAATTTAACAGCTGTTGATCTAATGAATATCAAAAAAATTCTGAAGTTTCTTTCCAAAAATAATTGGAATAAGGCAAACTTGATAATTATAATTTTAACCAAAACAGGAAACTATAGATATTACATATGAAAAAGCAGAGATGCCCTACAGGCTTGGTTCTTCACAAAGAAGCATCCATAATCACAGATGCTTGCAATAAATGCAGTCATGACTGTGACCTAAGGCTTTCCTTTTTCTATTTTGAAAATATAGCAAACCTCTTTTAAAGAGAAAGGCAAACTTATTCTGATATGAACAAATACACAGATACGGTAGAGCATCATGTGATGACCTTTAGATATATACATTTTAATATCTCAACTTAAAAATGATTGAAAGTAAATATTTTACATGCTTATCCAAGCCAACTCTAAAGTAAAAAAAAAAAAAAAAAAAGATGTTTGATCAGCCCTTTACATACTGAATTCCCATTTGAAGTAAAACACAAAGAATTTAAGTGTATTTTTGTGAACCTGTTGTGTGCCATAAAGTCTCCAAAACAACCAGCGAAGGATTTGGTGATATAAATATCATGTTGTTTACTTTGTTCAGTGTAGTCTTATTGCCATAGCTCTCCCCTATCGCTTCTCCATCAGAATTTCTATTTTATTATTTGTGAATAATAATAATAATAACAGTAATAATAAAATCATTCTTCTTGCCTCTCTTTTCTATCAGTTTCCTGTCTCAGTAGAATGCATGTGGACTATCTCAGAGTTTACTAAAACTATGCACTCCCTCTTCTGCAGGCAAAGCAGCTTCAATATTTTTACATTACATAGGAATACTGCCTCCTGTCTAGTTGGTATTTTCTCCTTGTCACAAAGGTTATTAGATTTGCTTTTTCACCCTCTGAAACTCAGATGTCTTCCCATGTGGCACACCAACATCCTTGGGAGAATAACATGCATGTTGGCATTTAATAAGAGCTTTTAGTGAATCATATTGCTAAATGGTTCCTACAGAATCCCCCTGTAGGAAAGAGAAAGAGGGAAAAATGAAAATATTCAGAGGTGTGGGGAAAGGAAGTGTGAAAGCCCCAGGACTGGGTGTATACAGCCATGACTGACCTAACTGTTGCTAGAGTTTTCCTGCCTGGCCCACAGTCAGGACAAATCTCTGTCATCTGCCAGCCCCACAGCCGCTCAGACCCAACCAAGTAAACACAGAGATTTATATTGCTTACAAACTGTATGGCTGTGGCAGGCTTCTTGCTAACTGTTCTTATACCTTAAATTAATCCATTTCTATAAGTCTATACCTTGCCACGTGGCTCGTGGCTTACAGGCATCTTCACATGCTGCTTGTCATGGTGGTGGCTGGCAGTAACTCCTTCCACCTTCCTGTTCTTTTCTTTTCTCCTCTCTGTTGTCCCGCCTATACTTCCTGCCTAGCCACTGTCCAATCAGTGTTTTATTTATTGACCAATCAGAGTAATTTGACATACAGACCATCCTACAGCACCTAACAATCACCTTGTATGCAACCTATATAACTTTATCTTCCATTTTCTAATGTATAACTGACAATGAGAATAATAATGCCTCCTTATGGAACAGTTATGGAAATTAAAGTAATGAACTGCAAGAGAGTACTTTTTAAATATGCAAATGACTTTGTGTGTGTGTGTGTGTGTGTGTGTGTGTGTGTGTGTGTGTTGTATCCCAAGGACAACAGCCAGCATAGAGTGAGAGATACTGATGACCTAAACATTGTCCCAAATACACCTCCCAATCTGTCCTTGGTTTGGGTTTGCAAACACAATGAGATGCTGTGTTAATGAGGATTGTGCTGTGTGAAGTCAAACACTTCCTTGACACATGGATAGAGGTTTTGTTTCATGTTATCTAGCACAAGTCTCTCTTTATGTCAACTTCTCTGTCAGAAAAGTCTAGCATTTCTACCAGCTTCTAGTAGACTAACCTAGGAAAGAAAAGGAGAAAAATTATTCATATCTTGAATACAAGCCACTTTTCCCATAGAGAATGAAAAATATCTGAGAACGCACCTTATATACACATTGAAGATAGTGCTTGTCATCTTAGGTGACACACGATATGTGGTCACTTAGGATTTCCTTCCAGATCAGCTGGCTAAGACAATGGAGGGTGGTCTGATCTATGGCAAACTTCCACAGCCTCTTGAAGAAGTTTCAAAAATCAGAGAGAAAAAAAAAAATTGCTTCTAATCATAACTGAAGCCTTGACCTCTAGTCAAACTCTAATCATTTTGTGTGTATAGTCTCGCTTGTCTTCACAGCAAGATACTGAGAGAAATATTGTTATGTTGCCCACTTTTCAAATGGCATTGGGACATGGAGCAGCTTGACAACTTCTGTGGTCATTTCCCAATAGATGCAGAGCCGGGAGTCAAATACATACACCCCAGCTCCCAATGCCACATTCTCCTCACCATGCTGTTTACCAGCCCAAGAAAGCTCTATAAAAAAAATAGTGAAATGAGTTTAGTTTGCTGTAGTCTTTGGTGAAAATGGGTGGGCTTTTTGCATTCTATATATGCCAGATGCCTTTTCCAAAGCTGTTTACAAACTTTTCTGAAAATATCTTTATATGCGCCAAACTAAACACCCTTTACTAGAGAATTTTGTTTGTTAGACACTACTTCCCTCCACTTCTCTTTCGATAAAAAGAAAATCCCTTAATGTGGAGTATTGTATCTGCTGTTGTAAGGCAATGTGGATGCTAGACAAGTCTCTCTATGCCTCAGCATGTCAACACATTGGTCAAAAATGAATTTATCAGTTAAATGCAGCCAAAGGATTTAGTTTATCTAAATGTGCTACAAAGAAAAAATAGTTTACCATTGTTTTTACAGATTGAGGTAAATCTGACATATCATTGACATATGCTGTGGATTTAATTTAATGCCACAGTACAGATGTGGGCTCTGATAAGTTTTTGTGAAATCTAGGCTAAGATGAGTAGAGTAGTTTCAATATTTATGGGGTTGAAAATGCAGAGGTTGCAAAGGAAGCATTTTAATTAAAACAACATTTGCCTGTGTATGCGCAGAGTAAAAATGGAGGAAAACTTCCCAAAACCTTATTACTGGTTTGCTATACTCACTGGGGTTTTCAACATACTCACACAATTTTGACTTAGTTTGGCTACCCCATTATTTGATTTTTGCTTTAAGGATAATACAAAATGTACTTTATCATTTCTTTTGATTTTTACCTTCTCCCAGCTAAGCACAGATGACTATTTACAACTTTCTTTGTAATTGTGTGTTTTAGGTATCCTAGAGATAACATCAGTGGAAATCGGAGTTGTTGCCGTCAAAGCCATTAACAGCAACTATTACTTAGCCATGAACAAGAAGGGGAAACTCTATGGCTCAGTAAGTAGCCAGCTTTTGTTTTCAAAACACATTGCACTAAGATAGTCCCAGAGACTTGGATGGTTTCCTAGAGCAGACACTGAATGGCTTTGTTGTCATTTGGTCACTACTAAGAGGATTCACAGGGGGAGGGGGGCTGGTCACCAGCATCTCCAGGGCCATCAAAGAAGCTTGATCTATAATCTACTGAGCTGTTTGCCCATGAGTCTACTACACAGTCAATCAGACTTTCACCAAAGCATCTAGATGAAGTAGCGTGGGAACTGGTGACAACCTGGAGAATTACTTAAAACAAAAACTTGGATGGAATGGAACCTCATATATTATGGGCACCTTTCATAGGTGAAGAGAAAACGAGGGTTCAGATATTGCATGTTTTTGTGAAAATCATAAACAGAGAAACATCAAGAGATTGATGTTTTTCCAGGTTATTCAATGAACCCTAGAATTGTACTTACCTAGGTAATAGTCATTAATTATAATTATACGTGAACATTATAGATGTTAAGTAAAGACAAAGGAGTATCTTCACAGTAGGGTATACTCTCTACAAAAATATAGTTAACAATATAGGACACTCTTTCAGTATAGTCCTCATGAGACCTTGGATAGATCAATACCTACAAGTGTTAAGTATTTTAAATATCACCTATTCAAACTCAAGTTGAATTCATTTAGACCATCTCTTAAAGTCTCACATAAAATAATAGTTATTTATAATTAAAATCACAATCATAATTGAAACAGAATAATATGCAGTATATCAATTATATTATTTAGATTTTTAGAAGACATGTTAGTTAAACATATGGTTGTCTGCTACGCGCCAGATACTGTTTGTCCTACCTCCCAAAGATGCTCAAGGAAGAAGGATAGAGTCACACATGGTACTGCACAGCTATGATCACAGCACTTGGAAGGCTGAGGTAGAAAGATCACAAGGTCCATACTAACCTAAAATGTGTCGGAGAACCTGTCCCCAAACAAAGCAAACCAACTTCAAATATACAAGCATGTCTGTGTAGATAGATAGATGATAGATAGATAGATTAGATAGATAGATAGATAGATAGATAGATAGATAGATAGATAGATAGATAGATAGATGATAGACAGAGCTTTGACTTCAAGCATTTTATAATATATAAGGAAAATGTCAACAAATATGAAGTAGCTATAGAACAATTAATTACTATAAAAGAAGATTATTAATAGTATGTGATGACATTAGCAGTCTACTTCAATCACTTAATCACCATTTGAAGACTAATACAAGCTGGTCACTTGTTTCATAGTTTTAATCCAAAAACTGTACCAAAGGAATACTACATAAATTTAAATTTTTCTGAATTCTAATCTAGAGGAGAACATGATATATAGCTATATAAAATTTTAATTGTATTTTTGGAGGATATATAGTAATATCAATGGGCAGAGATGAAACATCTGACACAATTACTTTAAATAATTTCATTTTTTTCTACCAGATATTGTGCACTTTTACATTTTTCATAGCATCAAAAATAATTTGACTTAAACATGCAAATAAATTTACTTTCTTGGTTAGCATAAGGGTCATTGGCAGTTCTTAAAGCTGAGTAAGCCTCAACATCAATGTGAGGAGTTGTTAAAAGACATAATGATGGGACCCAGGTAGGCTCAGCTTGTCTGATTCAGAGTTTAAGTTAGGGTACAAGAATTTATACATTTAGCGTGGTGTCAAGTGCTGAGAACTGAGAACCAGCAGTCTAGAAATGGCCTCCTTTTGTCTTTTATTCATATCAGGTCTGCTGTTAAGGGACAAGCCAGTCATACCAGGATAAATACTTGAAGTATGAGGTCCACAGGAATTTTAATTAAATTTCTTCATTGCATATTATTCCACCAAGGAGCCTAAAAAAGCAATAGAATATTTTTTAAAAATAGCTCCACTTAGGGCTTTAAATTCTTACCACTTTTTTTGAAAATACTGCTTTTTCTTTTGTTTTTATTAAACATGTTTGAGGGTCTGCCAGACAGCTCAGCAAGTTAATGTTCATGCCCCTATATCTGTCAGCCTGTGTTCACTCTCTGGAACTCAAAGGGTAGGAGAGAGACGACTCCCACAAGTTATCCTCTGGTTTCCACATGCATGCCCCAGTACACACACACACACACACACACACACACACACACACACACGCACGCACGCACGCGCGCACACACACACACATTTAAAAGAGAGAGAGAGAGAGAAAGGAAAAAGGAAAAAATCCCAAAAGGGGGGAAAAAAACAACATCACCACCACCACCAACAACAACAACAACAACAAAATCTGCTTATAATTTTTCTTTTAAAAATGTTATAGGCATAGAAAGATGGGGGCTCAGTGGTTAAAAGAACTTCCTGTTCTTGCAGGGGACCCAAGTTCAGTTCCCAGCACCCACATGATGGGTCACAACTGTTCCAGGGGATATAATGCTCTGCTAGACATGCAGGGACTATACAGAAAAACACACAGACAAAACATCCATACACATAAGATAAATCTTGTTTTAAAGTTAAAAAAAAATCAAAATCTGTCTGAATCCAGGCAGTGGCCTGAATATTCATCCCCAGATACTGAAGGCTGAGAGAGGAGCAAAACTGGAGCCCACAGCCCACGAGCTCAAAGCTATTCTGACCAACAAAGCAAAATATCTTGGTCTTTTAAAAATATCAACTAGCCGGGCGGTGGTGGCGCACGCCTTTAATCCCAGCACTCGGGAGGCAGAGCCAGGTGGATCTCTGTGAGTTCGAGGCCAGCCTGGGCTAC